TACTACTTTAGCACATCTATCCTAAGGTATATCAATGAGGAAAATTATTATCTGTTTCCCTGTGCTAGGAATATGGTTTGCCTATTATCGTTAAAGGATGTGTCTTAAACTATGCCTTCTTTCTTCACCTCTTTAGGTTAAGTAACTTTTTCCTCCTTTCTGTAATAGCTCAGACATTCTGCTGGGTGAAGGTTAAGTATCAACATAGCCTTAATGTGAGATACAACAAGAAACCCAGACAAAGTCGAAGGTGTCACATGAGATCTTATTTAACAGACGGCATGAGCAGCAACTTTCCTCCACTCCCTGGTTCCTCTCTGTGGCTTTTGTGTCAGAAGCACAACTCTTCCACTTATTCTAAATGTCTCTACAACCATCATCAGCCCCAAAAATCCCTGTACTGAATTCTCCCTCTCAGTCCAAATCCACTGCGGGTTCATCTGTATTCCAAGAGAACTTTGTTTTCTTTTTCTTCCTTTCCTTCAATCCTTTTAATCCTCTAGTTCAAGCAATTAGCTCTACAAATATTAGCTGCAATCAAGGTCTAGCACATGTGGTAATTTTCTCTCTAATAAATCAATCAATTCTTTCCATGGAGTGTTTTTTTCCCTTACAGTCATTAGAAAATTACAATGCTACTTGAGGATCACCAGCAACTTGAATTAGTCAAGGCACGTCAATCAAATTTGCCAGATTTTGCTTTAAAGATGAGAAAAATGGGGTAGATTTACAAAGGCCTCTTGTCTTAGAATAGGAAGCTTGATAGACTCTTGTTGAATCTGTTAGAGAGGCCTTGGAGTATAATGATCCATTTGGAGGAAAATCAAAATCAGTACTACCAGTGACAAATCAGACAAAAACATAGAACCTCTCATTAAATAATCTAAAAATTAATAATTGGAATAATCAGCCATGCAGTGTCCGTGGGCAATGCAATATTCTGTAATAGCTAATAGGTTAGCACAGCAAAGAAAAAAGAGACATAATCTAGCAAATGACCAAATTGTAGTTCTATAGCTTATTAAAATTTTTTTTCTTTAGTTAAATAGGAACTACAGGAGCCAAACTGTGCTTCTCAGAGCTGTCTTTCACGTTAGGGATAGGGCACTCTAGGGAGTAGGGAGCTGGGGAGCCCAGTGACAGCTCCTTGACCACCCACCGTCCCAGTATAGCAGCTCAATTTTTGTCTTATTTGTCATGAGTTGTGTTGAGGCAATGATTTTTCTTCTTGAAAATGATTTGAGAATCACCTATGCAGCCCAGACCACTCTTTTCATAAATACGTAAAATTAATGCCAGAGAAGGAATTCTTAATTTAGCGATGGAGCTGGAAAGAGACCCTGGACAGGATCTTCCGATGCCATGCCATACTGTCTCTTATACTTGGGGAACAAATCAGGTGAGAATTTGCATGCCTTTGGAATGGGGCTTCTGTTTTTTTTCTTTTGTTTTCAGATGGTTATAAGGAAAAACTGATGCAGCCAAGTTAGTGTGAGAAGAGGCACAAATGCTACACTGGAATTGAAAACAGAGTCTGCAATTGTGCTCCTTTCTCTACAGACTCTCTAGTCACTCTGAAGAATTATATCATTATCCAGCACCTGAAAGGGGTCAGAGGAGGGGGAGGCCTAGTTCCATTTTCTTATGTCACCAAGTGTATTCCTATTAAGATTGAGAGAAGTAAAGATTTCAGCAGGATTCTTGGTGAAAACTTGCTGACATTAATGACTCAAATTCTCAGAGAGACTGCAAGGAAAATGGTGTCATCACTGTCATTCAAGACATTTAAGATGAAATTTCAAAAGAAGGCTGTCAGGCATAATGACTGCCAGGTTCCATTATATCATTCTCAGAGGGTGGATCACACACACTACTACGCAGCCTGTGGGTGGCTGATGCTGAAGTTTGAAAGGAAGCTGCATGGAGAAGAGGCAAGGGGGGGCTGCCTCACATGAACAGGATACAGCACCATTGATATTCACATGGTGATTTGGGGGTAATTCTATGAATCGGGGCCTGGCTTTTAGTTGTGGGTATGCTGAAACCTAGTGCTGAAAAAATGTAGGAAAGTTTGAGCTGTAAATGATAATGCCCATTTATTAATTTGCTATGAGCATATTCCTCTCTAGCGACCCAGATGCTCATGTCTGTGTGCATTCCAGCACTGAGATGCCTGCAAAGCCTAGTTTGTAATCAGAAGGTAGCTATGTGAAAAGGAGATAAGGGCAGTGGCTTCCAACCTTGGCTGCACAATGCAATCACCTGGGGTGACTCGACGCTAAGGCCATACTCGAAAATCAAATAAATCTGAATCTCAGGGATGAGGACACAGACATCAGTACTTTTAAAATCTTCTCGAGTGATTCTAATGAGCGGCAAAACTCAGAACCACTGTGTCAGAGCAAAGGATGAGGTTCTAGGCCTCAAAGGGTGAGCCTCACCCTTTCCACTCAGGGATCTTTTATGTTATAGACCAGTGGGTTTGGTTTCGTTTTGTTTTAAATCAGGAGTAGACATAGGTTTGCCAGTTTCTAAATTTGTCAAATAAAATCATTAAAAATTCAACTACCATCATCTCATTAAAGAAAGAAAAATTTAACAATAAAAATTAGGAAGGGCCTAATTTCAGGATATAACAGTAACTCAGTATGTTGTATTTATTTTTCCCATGCCTCTACAGACGAGTGAATATGTCACTACAGACTGATGCAAACTTAAGAACTGATGTGATCTAATTGCTCTCTACACCCATAATCAAGGCTTTCCTCCTTGGACAGCTTTAGATATACTTGACTGAGTTTGGGTTAATTAAACCACTGTCCTATGGTAACTATCCTTCTCTTGCCATATCCTGTAGTAGAGGTTATTAATAGTATTGATTAAGTTGTAGGTGATTTCTTCTCCCAGGCTTTGGAAATGTTCTGTCTCTTCCAATTACAGAATATGATGATTTAGTAAGCTCGACTCTGCTTAGACATCTTAAACTAAGTTTTCTAGGGTGACCGTGGCACATATATGCCCAAATAACCACTTATTGGGGGCACTGGCACCCACTTGTTTTGCTAGTGGGCCATGATAGCAATTATTGTAAATCCAGTGGAGAATTCATTAGAGGGCCAAATAAACTACGATGAGTTGCTTATTCTGTGTTAAGTTATACAAAATAAAAAAGACTTACTAGTATTGTAAACTTTATTTTAAGTGCCTCTTTGGTATTTCTATATGGCCAGTTCTTCTGTGGCCATGTTTTTATTGCCCCTCTTCTCCCCAAAGGTACACTGGCATTCTAGAATGAGTTCTATACTTCGTTGTCTGTCCTTAACGAGACTGGCTGTTGCCACTCCTAGGAGAGGCGAGCTGTGAGAGAAGTTTACTCCGAGTCTATACCTCAAAGTTCCCTTCAAAGTGTGCATAACATAGAGACTCATTTATGCTGAAAATGGTGTGAAATAAGTCTTCATTTATTAATTTCCTCTAAGCTGTCATGCTTAAAGGTGGATCAAAAGAGTAGAAGCTAGCATACACATGTGCTTTTGGCCAACTGAAAAAGTTCTATTTACTGATGTCTGTGTTCTTCAAACACTCAAGATGTGTAACTAATAATGGGCTAGTCTGCCCCTGTTACTCCCAGACAAACCCAACCCAAACGGAAGTGTCTGCCATCTTTTCAAGGTCAGGGGCTTTGCTTAGAATAGAACATCAACCTCAGATGTAGAAGACCTGGATTTGAATCCCAGCTCCACTACTCTCTTCAGCAAGTTGCTTAAACACTCTGAGCTTCAAGTTCCTTATACATAAGATAGGAATAATTTCTTTTTCTTCTTCTGTCTTCTTTCTTATTCATTTTCCTTCTTCCCTCCTCTTCCTCCTCCTCCTCTTCTCCTCCTCCTTCTCCTCCTCTTTCCTCCTCTTCTTCGTTATATTTTAATTATGAGAATTATATGAGATAATTTAGGTAGAATACTCCGCAAGTTGCCAGACATAAGTTCTTACTAAACATTGACTTTGTAGGTCAGAGCTCAGGACACTAACATGGCATTAAATAAACATTCACTAGACACTTACACACACACACACACACACACACACACACAGAGTGAGAGAGAGAGAGAGTCTTGTGTCTGCAGAAGGAGGAATCTCATTGGAAATGTAAAGTTAAAAAGCTGTTACTGAATTCTGAACTTTAGTTTCCAGGTCTTGACCATTTAACTGGACCTATATGCTACTTAATCTTTGCTCATAACTGTTTCTAATCTCCCAAACAGATTACTTTTGCTGAGACCTGTGCATTTTTATGATGAATCCATAGAGTCACCTATCTGACCACCATCCGTCCTTCCATCAATATGTCCTTATCTTTACAGATCCTGGTATTCCTTGGACCCAGAAACACATTCCCTTGCTATTATCCTAATGCAGCTAAGCTTGTTAAAGGAAAGCATTTAGAAATCTAGATATTTGCTCCTGCATTTTCATATTTCTGTAAGCCAAGAAAAATTTGAATCAAATTCTCTATTGATACATCAGGTATAAACCATGGATCTGGGAGAAATTAAGTTGGAAGGACTAGAACCCATGGTTGGTCTAGAGCACTTAATATTCATGTAGAACCCGATTCTGTTTAATATTTTTATGCTGCTGTAATTAAAAAATTTTGACATCAATTATCAATACATGTACATATGTTCTCCCTATCTCTGCTAAAGCTCCCTCCCCCACCACCAAAAACAATGACAAATAAAAACAAAAATGAAAATATCGATAAATGAACTTCTCAAGTTGCTGAAAATTTACCATCAGATTCAAGCCTGTTTCTGAAAGTTTCAACTCACCCAATCAGACAAAAGGTTGAGGAAGGGAAACATTTATCAAGTTACACGGGGGACTCCATCTGTTATCTTAGACCTTCGTTACCAAGTGACACAGAGAAGATACTTGAAGGCAGTTTGAAAGACTTTTATTTTATAGATTCTTCATCCAAAGATTTCCAATTAGGGAGAAGCAGCAGCAGAAAAGGAGAAAAGCCAAGTATGAGTGATGAAGATACCTTCATCTACTGACATTTAACCTGGCGAGAACCATCAATGGTGAAGTTGCCTTTTCAGCTGGGATCTGTCCGTTCAGCTTCTGTAATAAATGCAGTCAAAGGGGCAGTCCCTTCCCATTGCTCACAAAGGTCTTGTTTTTGAACCTCGCCCTCACAGAGGCCGTTTCTCATCATGCCAAGTCAACAGAAGAAAATCATTTTTTGCATGGCTGGAGTGTTAAGCTTTGCATGTGCCCTCGGAGTTGTGACAGCCTTGGGGACACCGTTGTGGATCAAAGCCACTATCCTCTGCAAAACGGGAGCTCTGCTCGTCAATGCCTCAGGGCAGGAGCTGGACAAGTTTATGGGTGAAATGCAGTACGGGCTTTTCCACGGAGAGGGCGTGAGGCAGTGTGGGTTAGGAGCAAGGCCCTTTCGGTTCTCATGTAAGTAGCAATTGCATTTGAATTATTTAATACTTTGGGCAGACTCTTCCCAGTGTTGTGAGGAATTATGTTTGACAGTTTTGCCCTGTTTATTGCAGGACTTTTTAAACTGGTGTGAACCATATGAAAAACCTATGACTCTGAGCAATTTCTTCTTCCTAGTTTTTATTATTTTATACTTGCTCTTTTTATTATAACATAGAGTTAATTCATTGTTACATAATTAAGGTTTTTGGAAATATTAGCAATTAAGATTCGTAAGTATTAATATTTATGTAAGAAATTATGGAGTCTTTTTTAAAAAGTAAACTTGGGGAAATAGGAAAGCTGTAAAGAATGATCTTTATGCCTTTTATTCTTTATAAAAAGAACTAAGGTTATGGGCTCCCTACTTAACCCTACCTGCTTTGCCACCTTTTTCATGATTTTGTTTCCTGCTCCCCACTCCCTCCCATTATTTCTGCTAAGACCTCTGCTGCTGCTAAATATTCAGTTTTCATTTTTAACCAATCTGGAATCATTTGGCTGTAGAAATTTAAAATGATCTGCTGTGCTAACTGGGAAAGAAATGGATGCCTATTTAGTATAGAAAATTTTAAACTGATTGACCTGCAAATCATGTAGAGAATATGCGATTTTCTTGTCTTGATTTTTGTGAAATGGAAGTGTTATCCACAGTATTTATAACCTGTTTATCTTAAGAAGAGAATTTCTAAAAATTACCATGTGAATAGGCAACTCATTAAATGAAAATTAATAAGAAGTCATTTGTTATATCTCTCACAACACACATTCAGAAGTTATTATTATTTCACAAGGGCTGGTTTGGAACAATCTTATGAAGACACAGTCAGTAAATTACTGCATAAATCACTCTTCAGGAAAGGAGGTTACCAATTGAAGCATTTAAAATGAATTATTATTTTGCCCAGGTTTTTTTTTTTTCCTTCTAGTATAGGTAGAAGGCTAAATTAATTGAATTTATTATTAACATATGCAGTGCCTAATTAAATTTCAGTGCTGGTCTATTTATATTTCTGTGACATTCCTTATATCTTCTTAGCAGTCATTGGACACCAACCTTCAGCTCACATAGGTTACTAAGTGATATGAATTTTCATAGGGCTCCAGAAAATTTCCAAGAGTTAGTCATCAGCTTTTTAATCGATGAAGTGGACACCAGGTCTTTTCACTGAATGGCTTTTATTCATTAAGGTAATGGGGCTGTTAGAGTTGCCTAGTTTTCCTCGGGAAGGGGGAGGAAGAAAACAAAGCAGAATGTCATGTGATATGCAACTGTATTAAAAAACCGAAAAGGAAAAAAGATGAGAGCGATGATTTAACCATGAGTCACCGGCAGCCAAGGCGTGAGTAAAACTTCTCACAAATGAATTTAGACAAAAGCAAAAATACTGGTGAATTTTCTGGAGCCTTTACATTTTCTACAGTGAAATGGAGGTAAACTTTACTCATGCCATATGACATGTTTCAAAACAATAATAAGATGTTTTCTGAACACTTACTACATGCTAAGCACTTTATATGCTTTGTCTCATTTAATCCTTACACAGCCACATTTTTCTGGGGTTCAGCGAGTGATTTTTGTGGTTGTGTCCTATGCTGGTCCTGTCGAGGATGAAGTTGTTCTAACTGGATACCCCTCCCTTTGCTTTCTGTGAGGACTCACAGAACTGGTAGGGTTTAAACAGTACTCTCACTTATCTCACAGAATTGCATTAGTTCCCACATACCCCTAACATTCCCCCTCAGCCTAGTGAAGAAATTCTTCCATTTACTTGTTTGTTCTGCAGTGACAGCTCCATCTATATACAATAGACTATACATATTAAGTGTACTGTATATACTATACATATTAAAACCTCTTTCATTTTGGTGAGGCCCAGCAAAGAATACTTACAGTATAGCTTTTTTTTTTTTCCCTAAGCATAAAAGTATCTTTTTCAATGCAGCATGAGAGAGAGTTGGGAAAATGAAAATAAACAGATCCAATGGACTCCCCAAAGAGCATAATATTCATTTAAATAAACACCCCTCTCAGTGTTAAAACTTCCTAATCAACATGCCTTTGGGACACGTTGCACCCTGAAAGTTTACACTCCCATTGCAAGGCAGCTCCATGGTTCACATTTTTTCCATTCAAAATGTCATTACCCTGTCAATGATGTTTCATCAACGTTTGCTTGGATGAGAATCCTCTGATATTCTTCCTGATAGAAATGTATAAGCCCTGTTCATATAAATGAATAAAAGGTCTAGCCTTATTTTCTCAGTAGTGGCTTCCTTGGAGCAAAAATCGGGGACCTTCAGAGAGCTCAGGTGAATGACTCTTTTCTGTTTCTTCCAGAGCCCAACTTCTAATTAGTGTACAATTCATTTCCCAGAATGTCTTCTTTCTTATTTTGCCTTTAGAAAGTTGTTAAGCAAACATTTGAATTCACAGAATCTTACCAGTGTAGGAAGAATGGAAAAGGTAACTTATCAAGGTAAAAATCACTTCGTGGCCAGTTTTCTTGGCTCATTGCAACCTCCCCCTCCTGGGTTCAAGCGATTCTCCTGCCTCAGCCTCCCAAGTAGCTGGGACTACAGGCATGCACCACCACGCCCACCTAATTTTTTTTGTATTTTTAGTAGAGACAGGGTTTCACCATGTGGGCCAGGCTGGTCTCATGGCCAGTTTTCTTTGTGTTGTCATGTTATCATCAATTAATAGGAATTTATATTTCAGTTCTGTTAGGTGGATAAACACTATTTTGCATACCTAAACTTTTCATTTATATCAGCATTGCCCGATAAAAATATACTACAAGCCACAAATGCAAGCCATATATGTACTTCTAAATGTCCTAGTAGCCACATTAGAAAACAAAAGTAAAAAGCAACAGATGAAATTAATTTTAATGATTTTTTTAAACCCAAGATATCAAAAACCTTATCATTTTAACATATAATCAAAAATTTATTGAGATGTTTTACGTTCTTTTTTTCTTGATGCTGTCTTGGAAATCTAGAGTGTATTTTACATTTATATTACATCTAATTCAGTCTAGTCACATTTCACGTGCTCATTTTTTTGTGTGTGGTTTTAAGGAGAAGAGAGTTTAATAGGCAAGAAAGAAAAGAGAAGGCAGAAGGAAGAGGTTCCCCCACACAGAGACAGAGGTTGGGGGGGGGCTCCAAAGCCAGAAGAGGAGGTCCCTAAGTGAGGTGGACACCAGCCAGGTATATATGCAGAGTCTGGAGGAGGTGATGTCTCATTTGCATAAGGTCACATGCTCATTTTTATGGCTACTGTATTGGTCAGTACAGATTTAGATGGAGATTTGCTCTGAACAAGTTGGTCATTGATGGTGTTCATATTCTGATTGAATTTTTCCTGGGTTCTGCTGTATAAGTCCATGTGTGTTATTTTCATGTGCCATGCTTGCGTCACTTTTAAAACCCAGATACATGGCACAACGTGAGAATGAAAAATGGACCAGAAAAATAGTTTGGCAATGTAGTCATGTTTGTTCCTATAAATGTTCCCTGTTGACCACTCTATCTCTTTTAATTATAACAAGAATCTGCCCTGCCAGCATGCACAGTTATGCTGGGAAAACTTCTGCCTCATTTACTCTGGCTGATTCTCATCCACTTATGGGTCAGTGGTTCATTTTCTAGAGGTCACCAGCATTCATACCTAGCACACAATTTCATTTATTATAATGAAGGAATGTTTTCCTTTCAAAGAGGCACAACTGGTGGGCTTAATTTTTCTTGATATGTCACCTGTAAAATTTTAATGATGATGTTTAAACTCTAAATGTAGCCATCAAGACAAAAACTGCCAATTTTGAGCTCAGTGTGTGTGGGTGGGTTTCTGTTTTGGTAATTTGAAACATTGCAGAATATCATCAAAATATGATACCCAAGAATCATATGGTATCAATCGTTCCTAGATATACTGATCTATTCATTGCCAAGACAGTTCATGAGCTGGTAAAAACATATGGAATTATTTTCTTAAAATGTGAAAAATAAAATTTAACCAATCATGTATCACAGCTTGCAACTTCAGTCGTACTTTGAAAAGCATTTTAATTTGGACCTCATGATAGAAAATTTATAAAAAGCTGAACAGAAATTAGTTCACTTCATATTTTAGAAAAGCAGCGTTTCTTTACTAAATGAGGCATTTGACCCAGATTGGAGAGAAAATGTTGAAACTACTTCTATGAGCAAGCAGGTGGCTTCTCAAACATGTGTTGGGATGAAATGGCTGGGGCTCAGGGGCTCAGTGCCTGTCACTGAGAGTTGGTACTCTCTATCTCCATGGTCTCCTCCAAGTGTGACTCTTGTCTCTTGCTGACCTGCCCTGCCCCAGGTGTCTTACTGGTCATGACTCTGCACACCTTGAATCTCTCCTATCACCCTGCCTATGGCAAAGCTACAAAGGTCTTTGATGTGGCTCTGTCTGATATCCTGTGTTTCCTCCTATGGTCTGTGTGGAAGCAGGTATGGGGGTGTGTAGAGGGGAAGCCTATGAAGTTCATCTGCAAAGACTACTTGGTTAGGGGAAAAGGGAAAGAAGCCATATGCACCATTTCACCAGCAAGCATGGGCTCTTCTGCTTTTTAGCTTAGGGATCCTGTTGTCTAGTCTCACCCACCTATTAAAACAGTCCAGAAAATAGAGGTTTTGTTTACCTCCTATCAAAAAAAAAAAAGCAATTAATGCAATAGAAGATAATAATGTATGAGAGGCACTATTGTGAAAGAAAAACCTTCAGCTTCTCTCAGCCAAATAATTGTTTCCTCGTCTGTCCTTCCCAGACCTTGATGTTTGCTCTATTATTTCAAAACAACTATATTATAAATATTTGAGAATGTGTATTTCTCTGCAAGGAGATCTTAATCCCCAAGAAGGCAGGAGCTGTGTATTATTCATCCCAGTGCTCCTTCACAACAGGGCCTCAGACAGTGCATGGCCCAAACAGGTAC